GTTTGATATTTTAGTACTATGATGTGTTAGCACAAATTGTATTATTGTATAGTACCTATGCTTGTTAAGTATATTTTAAAAATTTTGAGACTAAAATGTACCAGAAATTTTTTGCATTAAAGTCCATTCTTTAATCATCACTCACCATTTCGTTTTCATCCCACGTGCCATAATACGTGAAACCAGTAATGCCACTAATTGGATAAAAGACTTGAAAGTTGTTGACTCTCTTGTCATTCAGCCACATTCCCGTCAAAACGGCTCCAGTCTTACAAAACGTATAGGTTCCCAACCCGTGTTTCATATCAGACTTCCACGTTCCGGAAAATTTGTCGTTGTTTTTGAACTTGAAAACCCCTTCACCGTCTTTTTTATTGTTTATCCAATAACCTTTCCAATGATAGTATTGTGTTCAACATTCAAAAATCAATGTTACATTATAAAAGACGTATATCAGTGGCAGTGCTAGGATGTGGCCGGGCCCACCCTAAAAAATTTTGGGACCCCTGTGGCCCACTCTAAAATTAAAAATTGAAAATAAATCATAATCACCTATTGAAAACGATCTTATGAACCTGATTTATAAGAATATATGAAAATATTTAGTCACAATGTATGGACTATGGGGTAAACAACGTTTTAAAAGCTATGCACTATATGTATTCAAGCCTCATAAGTAACGTGTGTTTTACAGCGGCTAAATACAAAAATGTTCTTTATTACTTAGTTATACAAACTATAGTTTACTCAGTTAAAAATACTTGTAGTTATGTTTTTATTAGTTATATTCAATTATACTGCAATTGATGTCTGATGGTGTGCTCAGGGTATTGAGTGTAAAATTTTGGGTTAGGGATGAGGTATCACCACTCAGGTTCGTATACAGGACGATGAAGAACATTAAGGGAGTTTTGAAAAAAGAAATGCATAAAATTGATATTATGCTATAAATTATTACTAAATTGTAGGTATTATATTTACATTATATTTTTAAGTATATAAAAGTATTTACATCAATAGATGTTTTATTAGAAAAAAAATGCTTTTTATATATGTCTAATACAGATCATTGTTTTAGTAAGTTTACACGATAAAAAAATAACTCAATATGAGTTTTACCCCCTTCCTTAGCTCAAATTCCTGACATAATTATTGTTTTTATATATATCAAGATAACATATTAGCGCCCTTAAAAAATTTTGGCCTCAACATGGCTCCCCTAATACTAAAATTCTGGCGCTGACATGTATTAAATTTTATATGTACATATATTTATTTATTTTAATCTGTGCCAATTATAATGGCTGAGTCAGGGTTATTATTGCTTATAATGTAAAGTATTGAGAGTTACCTTCATATTTGCTCTTATCGTTATAAATCATCACTCCTTTGCCGTTCCTCAGCCCTTCCCTGTAACAACCCTTGTAAATAGATCCATTTACAAATCTGTACTGCCCTCGACCATGCCTCAGTCCGTTTTTATACGTCCCTACGTAGGCGTCGCCGTTCGGTAAGATAGCTTTTCCGAATCCGTGTCGTTMATCGTCACTATTGCGTTGGCCTTTGTACGCCTGAAAAGTGAAATGGAAAACCCTCACCGAGTATTAGAAAATCGTATGGTCTTGGTGCAAGTACCTAATCAGTAATCAGTAAAGGTGCAGTGAGTTGTCACAATAAATTAGAGGCATCTCATGCTTAGATATCATCATATGCAATAACGTGGCACTTGAAAAAATATTTCAAGAGGGGGTGGAAAAATTCAAGAACGTGCACTTTCAAAATATATGACGTCTTTTTCTGCAAAAAAAAACTTGTTCCTAAAACATACGCATACCTCCCTCGTGTCAAATCAAAAAAGGTAATATTCCTAACGAAACCCTATTTATAAATATACTATTTAGTATGAAAGTATATATAAAATATTTCAGTAAATATTGTTTGGAAACCAAAATATTAAGTGGGGCAAAAACAATATTACGTGTGTGTAAAAAAACATTCACGACGATTTAAAAATTTAAAATTACTTAATATTTTATGGGACTAAAATACATAAGGTTTGCTTAAAAATGAAGATCGTTGATTTTTAAACTTTTACGGTGAAAATTCCTCTGGCGTAAACGGAAATCRAACATTATACAATTTTAATACAAACGCATATCACTTTTTGTACCAACCTATAACAGTAGRTACTCCTATTAATTAGTCACTGTCAGGATATAACGGTCAAGGACAATATAGGTTTTCCTAATCTATAAAATTCTCTAACACATGGAATAATACTTTAYTATTGTTACTTAAAAGGGATGGAATTTTCATGAACTTAGCATTATTTTCCGAAGCTACATGATGCACAATTTAAAATTTATAAGTTTAAAA